TGCATGGAGGACAGTAACATGTAAGAATTCTGGGAAGATAAGAAGGGGACACAAACAAAATAAGTATTTTTGTGGGGGTAGGCAATAAGGGTTAAGTGATTTGCCCAGGGACACACAATTAGTAAGTGTCTGAGGCCAGATTTGAACTCAAGTCCTACTGACTCTAGGGCCAATACTCGTGCACTATGGCACCACCTAGCTGCTCCATAAGAGAGTATTTTTTATTTGATCCTAAAGGTAAATGGGCAGTCACTATAATTTTCTGAGTACAAGGGTGACACAGTCAGACCTATGCATTAGGAAAATCACTCTGGCAGTTAAGTGGAGGATAGATGGAATGGAAAGAGACTTGAAACAGGGAAACCAACCAGCAGGCTATTGTAATCATCCAAGAATGAGGTGATGAGAGCATGCATCAAGGTTGTGGCTGTCTTAATGGAGAGAATGGATTCTACATGAACGATGTTGTAGAGAAAGAAATTAAAAGATTCAGCAACTGAGTAGATGCATGGGAGAGCCAGAGTGAGGAGTTGGGCACGACACCAGCAATGCTAATCTGAGTATCTCAGAGGAGGGGGCTGTCCTCAGCAATAATAGAGATGTTCAGAAGTGGCAGGGGGTTGGGAAGAAAGATAGTTATACTATGCACATATTGAGTTCCCCATGCCTATGCAACATCTAGTTGCAAATGTCCAATAGACATTTGGTAATGCAAGACTGGGGTTCAGCAGGGAGGCTAGGGCTAGATATGTAGATCTGGCAGTCATCTGCCCAGAGATGATAACTGGACCCACGAAGACTAATCAGATCACTGAGTATAGATAGAAAAGAGGACTTAAGACAGAGCTACTTAGAAGTCGTGGATGTGATGTGATAAAGATCCAGTAAAGGTGACTGAGGAGGTAGGAGGAAAGTCAAAGAGATAAAAGAAGAGAAAGTATTTAGGAGAAGAGAGTATTTAGAAAAATCAGCATCAAATAGAGATGAGAGGTCAGAAGATGGATAAGGACTGAGAAAATAACCTTAAATTTAGCAAGTAAGAGATCACTGATAACCAGATTTCAATTTTCAGAGGTAGGGATTTATCTAAACTTTGTTTCTGTTATTTTTTTAAACAAGATTTCACTTTTCACATGGGTAGTGAAGAATTATCTAAACCTTAGGTTGGTTTTCTCTCTTCTTTTTTTTTATTATTCTCCTAGTTGCATGCAGTTTTCTATACAGTAAGTACTTCATAAGAAGCCTGATAGAGTGGAAAGAGAACTAGATCTGAAGTCAGAGAATCTGGGTTTAAATTTTAGCTAGGTCATTTACCTGTGTAACCTTGGACAAGTCACTTGATTTCTAGGGGCCTGTTTCCTGCTCTAAAATGAAGGGGATTGAGCTAAATGATGCCTAAAGATCCTTCCTGCTCATCATTCCACAAATGATCTTACGTTGAACTGGAGAAACTTGTGGTGTGAGACTCCTGGTACAATTTTGATTTGTTTTCATGTACTTCCTTGTGGACATAAAGGTACAGTATTATTAGAGAAATTTTTCTTCCACAATTTAAAGAACAATACATCATTTTACCTATGATGCAGACTGGTATAAAAAAATCATAGGGAAATGCCCAAAGGGCTATAAAAATGTGCATACTCTTTGACCCAGCAATAGCACTTCTAGGGTTATATCTGAAAGAGATCATAAAAATGAGAAAAGTACCCATATGTACAAAAATATTTATAGCAGCTCTTTCTATGGTGGCAAAGAACTGGAAATTGAGGGGATGCCCATCAGTTAGTGAATAGCTGAAGAAGTTGTGGTATGTGAATGTGATGGAATACTATTGTGCTATAAGAAATGATGAGCAAGCAGACTTCAGAAAAACCTGTAAAAACTTGTATGGATTGATGCTGAGTGAAGTAAACAGAACCAGGAGAATGTTGCACATGGTAACAGCCATGTTTTTGTGATGACTAACTTTGATAGACTTAGATCTTCTCACCAATGCAAGGATCGAAAAGTCTCACGATGGAAAATGCTATCTCCATCCAGAGAAAGAACTACGGAGTTTGAATGCAAGTCAAAACATACTATTTGCTTTTTTTCTTATGCTTTGTTTTGTTTCTTCTTTCTTGTGGTTCCTCCTATTGGTTCTAATTCTTCTTCACAACATGACTAATGTGAAAATATGTTCAATAGGAATGTGTATGTAGAGCTTATATCAGATTGCACACCATCTTGGGGAGGGAGGTGGGGAGGGAGGAAGAGAAAATTTTAAACTCAAAAGCTTATGGAAGTGAATGTTGAAAACCAAAAATTAATTAATTTTTAAAAATCATAGGGAAAATTCCCAAATCTCCAGTACAGATAACACCTCTTCTGAAAACCATGCAATAATACCATAGTATAATATGAGGATCATGAGCTTCACAGGTTTCCAGAGAACCGAAGGAAAAGCATCAGTGGCAGTTGAAGCAAAGAAAGGAGAGAAGAAAAGCCCCCAAACCCAGAACAGCAAAACCTCCAAATAAAACAGCCAAGTCTCTGTCCTTGAAAGTCTTCCCTGGCATCTAGCTTGTTCCTCTTTACAGAGCTTAAGATCTCAAACCTGTAAGCCCAGAGGGCAAGTCCAAGGGCAAAATAAAGGAGGAATCTTGTTCCATGACAAAAATTCACAGAAACTCAGAACTGGAAGAGACAGATCGTTTGCCCTGCCCTAAATCACATTTCCAACCCTGACTTCTTTCTCCAACAAGCCTCAGTGCAGGTAACTCTCCCCCTAACTTTTTAGGTTCCTTTAATGTGTTCTTCCCCCATTAGAATGTAAGCTCCTTGAAGGCAGGAAATGATTCTCTTTTTATTTGTATCTGTATCCCCAGCCCTTAGCATGGTGGCTGGCACAAAGTAAGCACTTCATAAACATTTGTTGACTGCATGACTTGATCACATCCATTTAGTGTGGAACCACAAATATAACGAGTAGAATAAGCTCCCTGAAGGCAGGGACTGTTCTTCATTTTGGCTTTGTATTACCAACAGACAGTCAAGTCAACAAGCATTTTTTTAGGCACCTAGTATATGTCAGGAATTGTACTAAGTGCTAGGGTCCTTGGGGTAGCTAGGTGGCGCAGTAGATAGGGCTCCAGCCTTGGAGTCAGGAGAACTCAGACCAGTCACTTGACACTTACAAGATGTGTGACTCTGGGCAAGTCACTTAATCCCACTGCCTAGCAAAAAAAAAAAAGGGGTCCTCCTCCTCCCCATCAAAGGAGGAACTCATAGCTTTAAGGGAGGAAACAAAATACAAACAAGGGACACACCGTGCAGGATAAATTGAAGATAATCAACCGGGGGAAGGGGCTAAGGAAAACCTGAAGAGGATTCTTATAGAAGGTGTGATTTTAGCTAAGACTTGAAGCCAGAGAGGACAGAGAGCATTCCAGGCATGGTAGACAACCAATGAAAATGCCCGGGGGGTGGCGGGGGGAGATGGAGTGTTGTGTGGGAGAAACAGCAAGAAGGTGAGTGTCACTGGATCATAAGGACATGGGGGAGCGGGGGGAGATGTAAGAAATCTGGAAAGGTAGGAAGAGGGCAGGTTATCAAAAGTGGCCAGATGACTTTAAGAAAGCTGAGTGAGAAGGACAAGCATTAAGGCAGTAGCAAACGATGGCCCCCTATTGGGTGAGACCACAGCAGAGATAAAGACAAAAAACTGGCAAATGAACAGTATAAAGGAGACAGAGCTCACTCTTTGTATTTAGATGGGGTTTTTTCTTTTTTTCTCTCCTTTGCTCTTTTTGGTAATACATGTCTTTTTTATATTTCAAATAACTGATTTTTTACATATTATCATTCTTGTATAATTGTAGTCCCTTCCCCCATCCACAGCAGAAACACAAGGTATGGAAGGAAGAGAAGGCACCATTTTCTCTTTCTCCTTCTATTTCCGCTGCCTAGTATGAAGTTTTGAACACTGAGGAATGGGGAGGGAGGAAGGGTGTGTGGATTTCGAGGGATGGGGATGGGTCTAAATCTATGATTTCATTTCTGTAGGGTGCTCCCTGTGAGGAAATTTCCTTCATCAATGCCTTACCTGGAAATTATATCAGAGTTGCCTTGTACATATTATTTAATAAGTGCATGTTAGATTGAATTTGTTATCAAAACCATTCAGTGCTCTCTCTCGCGCTCTCTCTCTCTCTCTTCTCTCTCTCTCTCTCTCTCTCTCTCTCTCTCTATTTCTCTCTCTTCCCCCTTCCCCTTCCCTCTTAGTTTGGGGTCCTTAGTTTTCCACGGCCAAACAATCATGCTTACCTAGCTAACTCTGAAAAAAGCAATCCCTAACTACTGAATGGTATCCACTGAAGGTAAAGGTAGAATCCAGAAGTACAGAATAACCTCTTTGGAAGATGCCCTAAGGCCACAACTTGTAAAGGGATGCTTCCTCTAAGTCTTAGCACAAAAATTTACTGAATGCAAGAAAGAGTAACCACATTCTTATAAACCCTTAACGCCCACTCTCCCTCACCCTAATGGTTCCACACCCTGTTCCCAATATATTTATTTAGCTCACCTATTCACTCATTTTGCTTTCTTGACTTTTCTTGAGGTGTTTCAGTGGTAGAAGCCACCAAACCAGAAAGTCTTCCAAACCTAGAGGATCTATGTTACTCCTTGTGGACTTCCAAAAGTTGTGCATACAGCAGGTACCAAACAAATGCTACATGAATGAACTACTCATTCTTCATTTCAATGGACCTTCTGTTTCACGGCATCTACAGGTCAGCCCTTTCTTAAGCTGACCCGAGAGGATGATTAATATTTTGTTTTGTACACATGTACATGGGTTGTCTTCACCAACAGTCTCTTGGAGGGCAGGAACTGTTTCATATTTGCCTTGATATCACCAGCTCTTAGCACACTACCCAGGCCACAGCAGGCACCTGATAAATGCTTGTGGATACATCTTTCCACCAGAATTTTTAACGAAATCAGTAAAAACACCAGAATATAAGAAAATGATTTTATTTCTAATTTTCAGTTCTGATACAGTTTACCAATACGCTTTTACTCTGATAATTCAGCCTTGCCGCTAGCAAAGCCTCTGAGCTAACACCCATAAATACAGGTCGGGAGGCGATTAACATCCACTATTGTTTCTGTACATAAACTACTCTTTTCATGTCGTTTTTTGACAATTGCAAACCGACTACATAATACAGGTGGGCAAAAAGGCAAGAAGGGAGTCTTCTGAAACACTAAATGTATAATAAACACAGCGCATATTGTCAACATGTGCATGAGTCACATCAAATTGATGACATCCTAAAATGTATTCCTTTTAAAGGACAGATTTTCAATAAAATATTACATTTCATTTAATACTCTGGTACAATACTTCATACACTGCAGGAAAAGTAAAAGTAGGCCTAGTCATCAGCTTCAAGGATCCCTTCTCATTAGCCTTTAGTAATAAAAAGAATCACAATTATGTCATAAATAAACAGGCAAAATTAATAATTACAGGTTTTGAGGTTGAGCGTGGAAACATTTTTCAAATTAGTTTTGAGTAATAAAAAGTTATGAAAAACACTGAAATGAGCTCCTAGATAGATTTGCAATCTGTTCCAAATAAAAAAAAAAGGAGCAAACATTTTAGTGAGGATACAGTAACAATAAACTACATTTCTAAACTAATATTCAAGAGGGAAAATTAAAAGTTCTGTCCAAATTAATGGCTAGCAGTCCTAATAAGATAACCATAAATCAGCGTGACCATTTGCTATAAAACTTTTTTTTAATTTTAATTTTTTTTTCTACAATGCACAGTCAACGAAACTGTACCAGGTTTGTACTGGTAAAAAATATATAATATATATATAGATATGTTGTGCCTCAGGAGTTACACTCTTAAGTTTTCTTGTGGTGTAAAATCTATAATCAAATACTTCTAATTCAATTGCTTTCCCATTCCACTGAACTAGAAATAATCCATGATGTCAAATTATTTTTAAAAACACCTACTAGAATTATCTCAAGATACAATGGGAGTCGATAAATAAGGTGAATTAAATGGAGCTTCCAAACAGTTCATTCCAGAAACAAAAATTTACCCTTCTGTCAGTGGAATCCCCTACTCCCTGGACATACTGTTTCTAGCAATTGACTAGCTATTTTTATTCCATCAGAGAATGGTGGAATGAATGCGGGGGGAAAAGGTGAGCCAATTAAGCACCACCATTTTAAACACATGTATTAGCTCTGGGCATGCATCCCTTTCCCCCTTGGTGCAGCCCAAATTTGAGAAAATCAGAAAAGACTCAATGTGGACTTCCTGTACACGGAGGATGCAGGGGATGCAGCAGGGTCTGCTAGTTCAACTGCCTGCTTTGTTAACATAGGAGCAAATATTGCCCCATTACAGAAGAGCACCCATTAGGGGAACCACACTTTTAAAAAATAACTAGATTACTGACTTCACAGTGCCTCAAAAAAGTTCACAGTACAATACCCTTGTCACTGTACACTTGTCTTTGTGCAAATGCAGCACCGGACCTGACATGTGCCACCATCTCCCCAGCAAAGAGTTTGGCTTTTTTTTTTTTGTAGTAGGGGGAGGCTGGTTGGAGAATATGTGTGCTTAACTGGATATCTGCCCTTTGTTTTCAGTATATAAGGATGTCCCCACATTTCTAAACAATTCACACCTCTCTATATAGATTTTTGGTTTTTGTTTTTTAAATGATTGGTTTAACTCTTTCCAATAGCAAAAACTGAATGGCATTTTACTGTTTAACTGCCACAAAATCTGAAAAAAGGGTCCCCCAAATTGGAAAACTGGCTGTTGGTGACAATGTTGTCAATTTTATTCATGGACTATGCATGAGTGCTCTGAGCTCAGACGTGCAGGTAATGAAGATATGTAGTAACGAGCACATGCTGGTATGTTTGTAAGAAATGGAATTCACCTTAATTATGGACTCTCACAACTAACAGGACAGCCTCCTTGCCTTATATCAAAGCACATGTCCAGCCTGTACTGGGTCCTGGCATGGAGACGCTAAAGACAACCCCTCCATCTCTCTCTCTCCCTGCCCCCTCCCCAATCAACCACATGAAAAAGTCCATTCCTTTCAACTTGGGCAATCACCATGATTTTCAGCAGGGCCACACACTAGCTAGAAGCTTCTGGTTTTCCCTAAAAGAGCTGTTCACTCTGAAGTCTCGTTGAATCCATTTGTTGCTTTTGTTTTTAATTTCAATATCACATTTCAGACAAATTCTCTAGCTCAAAACACAGAATCCTGCTTTCACAACTTAAAAAGAGCCAGTTCACTTCTGCATGATACTCAGAATTAGGACTCCAGGTGGGGCGAGGCAGGCAGCTGGTCAGGGTGCAATAAGCAAGCATGAATACCTCAACTAAAAACAGGTTTTAATAAATGTGCACACACATATTTTTGTGCCAAAAACCTCTACTGTTCACGGCATGGTGCTCCTTGAGGGCAGATGCTATCTCTCTCTCTTTCTCTTTTTATCTTGGCACCCCCCCAGAAGCCTAGCAAAGTGCCTTGGTGCTCACTAACAAACTAAATGTTAGTTCAATGGAATAACTCCTACCATATGTGACTTGAACAATGTGAAGTCTTGAAGCCTTCAATGGACTCACAGGAAACAATTTCCAAATGCAAAAGGTGACAATTTCCAAACCTTGCTGAAAGCATTCCAACATTTTGTCAACTTTCGTAGCAAAATTCATTCGTTGGCTACAGAATGAATGCGACTTCAAACATGATTCAAGGTCATCCGATCTACCCATCATTGCCCCCGGGTTCTGTTGCTTCCTCATATACCACCTTTTCTAAGCTGCTAATTCTGTGAGCTCCACTCGCCAATCTGTCATGGCTCAAGCTCTCCACTGTGCCCTCTTCAGTGTCATACAAGCTCATGTGAAATTTGGTAAAGTGTGACCAAGTTCTGGTGATGCCTCATGGCTGCAAACTACAGACTACCAGTCTCTGAAGGGTTAAAGCTGCAGGTCACCAGCAGCATGGGGATGGCCAGGCTACAGCACTTTAGCAATAAAGAACCAGAGCATCAGAGATACCAAAGATCAGAAAAGGGAGGGGCACAGCCACGGAGCAAGGGCAAGTGATGACCAGGCATGAGATCACCACGCTCCAGGGGGCGCCCGGCGGCCAGGGATCGAGGGAGACCCCGAGGACACCAGGGGGACCCTCCGGGGAAGAGCTGCAGGACAGCACGGACGAGGGCTGAACAACAGAAGACGGCGTGGATGGGCTGCCACCGGCATCCCTACCAACGTGCCTGCCCGCCTTGAGGAGATCCCAGTTCCATGGAGTTATCCAGGGCTCAATAATCATTCAGTGATCTGGCAGAACTGAGACACAGTTTGACAATTCCATGATACTATACTGATTTAGGAAAACAAGAAACAGTTTCATTAAACCAACGTCCCATACAGGACTTCACAAAGCCAAGTGAAAGAAGTTACCTCACCATCAAGTTACAGGACAAGTTGGGTTCAGAGAGTGCAAATACTACTGATTCTACCCTACAGGCATTGACATTAATGCAACAAGTACATTTGTACAATCAAACCACTGTACAAATATAAGGATATATGCTGGTGAAAGTCTGTCCCAAAGTCAAGAGTCCAAAGTACTACAATAAAGTAGAGGCAAATAAGAGAGTTTTCAAAGTGCAATAAAAAGATGCACTTACTTCAATTCACCCGAATACAGGCTTTATGCAGCCCCCTTGGGGAGAGGGCCTGAATTCTCTCTCATCTCAGGCCCAGCTGCACTCACGCTAAGTAGATCCTACAGACAGCCAAAGTCAGGGCATTCGCTCTTCTGTGCATGAAAATGACCAAACAGGTCTTCCCAAATGACTTCAGGGAAAACCAACACTCTACCCCAGCTCTACTGGAAAGAAGCTCCCACTCTTGGCAATGTGGGCCTGATGTAGTCACTGACTCTTCTCCACTCTGCCTCTGAGACCCGGGGAGGCTCAAAGCACAGAAACAAAAGACAGCCAGAGGGCAAGGAACCTGAGTAGTTACAGGGGCTCAAAAGGGAAGTCACCAGAGGAGCTTATTTGTCTTTACAAATATGACCAAAAATACTTCAGCTGAAATAAACACAATGAAGAACAGTGGAACACACATAGCAAAGAGGGATGTGGCTCTGGAAGGCACTTAAGGTAAAAGAAGGTTGGTGAAAATCCCATTCAATGAAACAGAAAGGAGCTATCGCTGGCAATCCTATCCCTCAGTCCTGGCACTGACCCCTTTCTGCCTTGCTTCAAGCAACCCTCTATGTTCGCACAGATCGACTTGAGCGACCCGGCTCAGATCATGCATCCTTCCACTGGATTCTGAAGTACAGATCACCTAGAGAAGTGTAAGGCCTTACTGAAAACCACAGGAGCCCCGAGCATGGGGAAAGGGTCACACATATCAGCTCACAGATGGCATGGCAGGGTGGTTGGGGTTGAGCAATCACAAAGAATCATCAGAAGCTCACTAAAAGGTCTTCTGCCTCCAACTGTCAAGCCGCTAGATGACCGTGAAGGCCACAGGAATCACCCCAGGCTGCTGCCGCCTCCTGCCGCTGCTACAAGCTGCTGCTTTTCTGAATGACTGCAAATGTTCCCTCCAACACTGGTCATCAGTTTTCTCTTCAGCATAAAGACAGTGACTCTGGTTCAAAGGGTTGTGCATGTTTTCCCAACAGAAACTCAACAACTAGGCTGAGAAATAAGTCAGCCATCTGCTAACAAAAAAAGGCACCTCCTCTCCAAAAACCATCATCACCTTCCACTTTGAAGTGGCCAATTGGAAAGGAAATGCTCGACTCCGTAAGCTTCAGGCATTAGGACATGATTCTATCCCCTATCAGTTACAATAGATAATAATAAAAAATTGTTCCCATTTGTACTGGATGTTGTTTTGACAGATTTTCCCAAATCATTGCTCCTTCAAAAAGTGCCCTTTCATGCCTCACAAAGAGAAAGAGAATAAATCTGCTCCAATTTTAAAAAGAAAAATGCTGATAATTTGAATTTTAATCACCCTCATCTGCAAAATGTGGAAACGAAAATTTAATAGCTTCCTCAATTTAAAACAAAATTCTATAAAATATAACATTGTCTACATTGTAGAGATGATTTCTTCTTATTTAAAAAACAAGCAACTGTAAATCAGGCATTGTTGAGAGAGAAATTCATGATCTTTATATGGTTTCGCACTTTGCTTATTAGCAGAAGTTAAACAGTCAGAATGCAAACCTTCCAAATTCATTCTTCACATGAAAGTACTTGCATCTTTCTTGACCTTTTGGGGGTGGGGAGGAATAGTCATATCTGGAAAGAGAAGGAAAAAAAAGCAAGAAATTATTTAGGAATGTATATCTAAAAGCTTAATAAAAATGAAGACATTTTGTTGATGTGGAATTCCATATTGAAAAAATAAGCTCATGGCAAATCACCACTTTCTATTTGTTATTAAGAAATACTTTTGTCTCTAATCTGAAGAGTTAAACCTTCTAAAAAGGCATTAGGGCCAATTAGCAGGGTAGAATACTTTAAAATTATGTAGGATCACTGACTCAGAAATGAAAGGGAACTTAAATAATGATCATTTGATCTAATTCCTTTGTTTTACAGAGGGGACAGTGATCTCTAAAAGAATGCATGGTGATCTGAACCTAGCCTTGTTGTATTCAGTGGCCCTACTAATGGCACAAAAGTGAGAGCCAATGCTAACTGGTTCCAAAAATATCTCAACACATCAGAATGTTGGCTGAAATCTTTCTTATTTAACAAGAAGTCGATCTTCTCTAATACAATAGATTTTGACAGGGATAAATGTATAGTCCTACCATACTCAGCTACACAGGTACAGTTAAGGGAGACAGCACTTTGGTTAAATGCTAGCTCAGTAACAGCGTGATAGAGCAGTGGAAGAACCTACTGCGATTCTTGGCTACATCAAAAGTGACCGCCTCCAGAATGAGGAGGTGACCATCGCCTGGGCCCCTGGCCAGGCCCCATCTGTAGTACTGTTTTCACTCCTGGGAATCACACTATGGAAGATCCCTGACAGACTGGGGCAGACTCAAAAGAGGGCAAGCAGAAGAATGAAAGGACAAGAGACCATGCCACGTCAGTCAGTTGAAGGAACAGAGCATACTTTGCCTAGAAATTAGAAGATTTGGCAGCACAAGGGGCTCGAAACATGTTCAAGGATTTGAAATGCTTTCATGTGGAAGGGCTCGTGAAGAGACATAGGTCGCCTAAAAGAGTTGGGGATGGGGATGGGGGGCAGCTAGAATAAGAGAATCTTAGGAAGCTAAGGAGAACTAGGGCAGCAGAGAGAGGCCCAAGATCCAGAAATAAGGAAGAGCTGATCCTGCTGTGCTATCAGACATCTTCCGCACAACTAAGGTCATTTCAGGCAGCATAGGTCAAGAAGGGCACTGATGAGATGGAGAAGGTCCAGAGGAGGCCAATCGAGAGGGTAAAAGGCTTTGAGTCCATGCCACACGAGGATCAGCTGAAGGAAATAGAGTTGGGAGAGAAGGGTACATAATTGATGCTTCCCAGTATTTGAAGGTTATCATGGGGGGAAAAGAAAAGCTATCAAGGTTATCATTTGTTTTACTCAGTCTCAGAGAGAAAAACAAGAAACAAAAGTTGGAAGCTGTAACAGGCCAATTTGGGCTCAATATCTAGAAAAGGTCCCTCCTAACTCTAGCCAATGGGACGCCGTGAGAGGTGGTGGGCTCTCCTTCACTTGAGGATGTCTGAGAAGAGGCTGGATACCAATGTCAGACACATTGCACAGGGATGTTCTTCACAGGTACAGGGTGTGTGAAGAGGCCACGGAGAGCCGAGACCATGCTGAGATCTGGTGATTCTCTTTGTTGTGCTTGGTCCCAGAGGACAGAACTTTTACAAGCAGTAGATGCAAGTCACAGAAAGACAAATTCCAGCTCAACCTAAGAACGTGCTTCTTAAGCAGGAGAGCTGTCGAGAGGAGGAATGAGCTGCCTTGAGAGGCAGCGAGGGCCCCAACATTTGAGGTGTTCAAGTGGAGCTGGGGATGCTGTCAAGATGATTCTCATTAATGAACAGCCTGGAATGAGGTCGACTCTGAGCTGTTTCTGCAGCTTTTCCCAGGGTCACCCAACTGCTATGGGGCAGAGCGAGGAAGAAAGCCAAGCATTCTTAACTCCAAGGGGTATGTTCCTCTTTACACGAGCCCCACGGCATCCATACAGGTTGTATTCTAGGCGGCCATGGCAGCCCCTACTAAGCAATTCAGAAAAAGAACTAATTCCCAAGAGAGATATCAAGTCACCTTCAAAGAATGAACTCTGATTTTTGTGGATTCTGAAAAGGTTGTCAAAGTAAACACTGGCAGAATGTTACCTTGGGGCGGGAATAGTTTATCAAAGTTTTTAACACAGTTTTAACATTGGTATATTTTCATTAAATATTTACAAATGTTAATGTTGAGAGAAATGAAACCTATCACAAAACATGCATACTGAACAGTAATCGATCACGGCCACAAACATTCTGAAGTTAATTACCCAGCTCTGAGCTGAAACCTCGGCAGGTCTTCTCATCTAAAACTCTTCTGCTGCTGCACCAAGCCCACATTTTCATATACTCTAGCGCTATCTTCTCTCATTCTGAAAAAGATATTTACAAAAATGCAAACCAGGCAGAAGAAAGGCATCTTGTTATAACGTCACCAACCAGAGTATCAATAACTTAGTCAATCTGAAGATATTATGCCACGACTTTCAGATCCTAAATTGCAAAGTCAGTATGAGGGAAAGAAGATACCTGGAAGTATGCTGCCAAGGAGGCCTGCATTCTGCCCCCACTGCTCATCGATAAAGAAATCCATTTCACAAACCAGCTCTCCGTTGTGGTAAAGAGCCCAAAAGATGTTGTTTGTAATTCATAAGACCTTTCCCTTTATTAGGGTAGTTAGAAGGAATATATATAGACAGAGGGCACAGGTGTGAGTTGAATATGAAGGGATGATATCTAAAAAAATAAAATTAAGGGGTAAGAGAGGAATGTACTGGGAAGAAGAGAAAGGGAGAGGTAGAATGGGGTAAATTATCTCACATAAAGGAGGCAAGAAAAATATTTTACAGTGGAGGGGAAGAGGGGGGAGGTAAGGGGGAGTAAGTGAACCTTACTCTCATCAGAATTGACTCAAAGAGGGAATAACACAAACACACTCAATTGGGTATAAAAAAATCTATCTAACCCTACAGGAAAGTAGGAGGGAAGAGGACTGGGGGCACGTCCCCCCCACCACAGTGATAGAAGAGAAGGCAGATTGGGGGAGCGGGTAGTAAGAAGCAAAACACTTTTGAGGAGGGACAGGGTGAAAGGAGAGAGAGAACAGAATAAACAGCGGAGCATGGGGGGGCAGAAACAGAATGGAGGGAAATAGCAACAGTAAATGGGGAAAAAAAATTTTGAAGCAAGTTTCGCTGACAAAGGCCTCATTTCTCAAACATATAGAGAACTGAGTCAAATTTATAAAACCAAGAGCCATTCCCCAAATGATAAATAATCAAAAGATATGAACAGTTCCCAGATGAAGTAATCAAAGCTATCTATAGCCATATGAAAAAATGTTCTAGCCCACTACTGACTGGAAAAATGCAAATTAAAACAGTTCTGAGGTACTACCTCATACCTATTAGATTGGTTAAGAGGACAGAAAAAGTAAATGACAAATGTTGGAGAGGATGAGGGAAAAATGAGACACTAATGTACTCACTGTTGGTGGAGTTGTGAACTGATTCAACCATTCTGCAGAACAATTTGGAGCTATGGCCAAAGGGCTATAGACCCAGGCATGCCCTTTGACCTGGCAACGCCACTACTGGATCTGTATCCCCAAAGAGGTAAAAAACGAAAAGGAAAAGGACCTATATGTACAGGAATATTTATAGCAGCTCTTTTCTGGGGGCAAAGAATTGAAAATTGGGGGATGCCCATCAGTTGGGGAATGGCTAAGCAAGTTGTAGTGTGTGATTGTAATGGAATACTGTTGTACTATAAGAAATGACGAGCAAAATGCTCTCAGAAAAACCTGGAAAGTCTTACATGAGCTGATGCAAAGTGAAATATATTGTGTACAAAGTTACAGCAATATTGTAAGATGATCAGCTGTCAATGACTTGGCTATTCTCAGCAATACAACAGTCCAAGACAACTCTGAAGGACTTATTTATTTGTTTGTTTGTTTATTTTTAGTGAGGCAATTGGGGTTAAGTGACTTGCCCAGAGTCACAATGCTAGGAAGTAGTATGTGTCTGAGGCCGGATTTGAACTCAGGTCCTCCTGACTCCAGAGACGGTGCTCTATTCACTGCGTCACTTAGCTGCCCCTCTGAAGGACTTATGATGAAAAATGCTATCCATCCCCAGAGAAAAAACAGATGGTGTCTGAAGCATACTTTTTTACTTTATTTTTCTTGAGGTTTTTTTTTTGTCTGTGTTTTCTTTCACAACATTATGGATGTGTTATACATGACTACAAAAAAAATGTCATCGGGAAACAGCAGACAAAGTACGTAAAATACAATGAATGTTTAAAAAAAAAAAAGAGGCCAAGAAGCAGGAATAGGAAGAGAAGAAAGCAGCATTCATCTGCTAGAGGAAACACATCTGATACATGACGTATGACATGATGATTAAATTAGAAGCACACATATGATTACTCACCTCACACACAGTCTAAACCATTTGTATGGAAAAGTAATGACAGAATATACACACAGACTACAAAAATATATAAAAAAAATTTAACCACAGCAACAAAATCCAGAAAAAAATGCAGAAATAAAAAATCAAAGGGGGATACAAAGGCAAACAAGATTTGCTGTTATTTTTCTTAAAGTTAATACACACTCTTAAAAAACAAATCATAACTAATGGAGTTTGTGGTTTTATAGCAATCAATTTTGTTCTATGAGTATTTCAATATTTGTTTTTGTTGAGTTGTCAAGTTTAAAATAAATGAGTGAACAAATAAATAAATGGGCAAACAAATAAATAGACAGATAAACATATAAATGAATGACTAAACAAACAAACAAACACATGAGAAGCCAAAGGCAGAACAGATTTGCAAATGTGAACCAGTAGGAAAGAGCCAATAGGAGGCTTGTGAAAATTAACCTAGAGAGGCAAATGTTAACCAAAGGGACCAGTAATGTAAGCTTCTTGTGGCTGTTCACAGAATTGATCTGACAAGTGTCTATAAATTACATTTTGTGAATAAGGTCCCAAAACTCATATCTATCAACTAGTAGCAAACATGTAGCTCAACTCTATGGTGACAAGCTAAGGGCTCACTTATTTAACAGGTTTCCAAAAATCTTCTCCCCTCCCCCCAAAAAAGGTAAAGACGGGAGGGGAGGAAAGGATAACCAGCAACCATCAGCCTTGGGAACAAAAAGATATAAACCTAATTTGGTACTTGGCTAGGCTCAACAAATATCGCTTTGATATATTAATAACCCCTAGGGAAGGCAACAGCCAGCCAGCCAGCCAGCCATCAGTTAAATAAACCAGCTAAGGCTTTGAGAAGTATTAACAAGGCACAAGCTACGAATCTGCTAATTGATAATGGACGTTATTAGCCAGCTGATTAACCACAGCACATGTCCATGTAAGTCTTGGGCTGCAAAAAGAGCCATTTTGCAGAAGGATTTTCAGAAAAAAAACCCAATTCCCTCCCTACTACTTACTCTGGACAGGCTGGAGTCGGGGTGCAGGGTGGGAGAGGACTCTGATCTCCACTTGTCTGGTCCGCTAGGGAATATTTAATGTTTGTATATTCATGCCCTTTTCTCTTACTTTTCTGAAAACCAAAGAGCAAAGATAAAACATTTTAAGTTTCAGAAAGGCCTGAAAAAAGAACACGTTTTAATGAAGGAGCCTAAAATCTCATTCTTTAGGTGGTCAAACAAGTGGTGAACATTCAGGAAACACTAAGACGCTGTCAGAAGCCAGAATGGATAAGAATTTATCTTTCCAACTACAATGTACAACCTGAACCTTTCCTATGATCAAAAGTGCCCTTTCAAGCCTAGAGAATTTTAGAGCAAGACGAAATCATGTGTAACAACTTCAGCCTGGCTCAGAACAAACCTCTTAGCTAAGAGAGGGAAGCATTCCCATAGTCACCATTTCATGGCTCCTCTGCAATACAGCTTTGTGAGCCCCAGGTATGAAATCAGAACAGATTCCAGGAAAAGACTGAACTCCAGCAGAAATGGCCCCACAGTCCCAGCAGCCCCAGCCTGAGCAGTGCAGAAGGAAGGAAGCCCTGGGAAATGGCTCACTGAAGAAGGAGAGGCAGCAGGGCTACACAGACACCTGATGGTGTCCCCTCCACACCGTTCCTTACTCAGTGAGGGGCCCTTTGGACCCCTCAATGCTGCAAAGCTGGTTCTGAAAAATCTCCCAGTAAGCACATCACCCCAACTCATACACAAGCTGAGCCAAAGGGGTGGCAAAGCTCTAAATGAAATAAATTGAACCTCACTCGCCTGAAAATGAAACAACACCTCTAAAAAAGAGATCAGTTAAGAATCCCTTCCCATTTATGCCGATACCATTGAATCAGGACTTCTAACCTCATCAAATATCTGTATCATCATGCAATGTATCTTTCAAGCTGAGGGCAGTCTCAAAGAAACATTCACTATCTAGCATTTGCAGCATTTTTGACCTAATTATAAAGTAACCATTACCCAAACAGCACTGACTATCATTTAAATGAGAGTTCATTTTACTGGCAGCGGGATATAGGTGCCTAAGGGCACACTATGAACCAGCATTAGTAAGGAGAGAATCCAAAGGAAGCAAAAGTCACAGGTTAAAACCCCTCATGGGCCAGGGTTGGGGCTGGACTTCAGTGCTCTCAATGGCCACAGACTAGGCCTGACTAGTTCTAGCTACCTACCTTGCAAATATGTCAGTCATTAGTTAGGAAGCACGCTCAAGGGAGAGATTTTAATGGATTAACATCCAGCACAACTACCAGATGCATAAATGGCTGAAAGATTACACTCTGTGGATGATAAACAGCAACATCTTTGTATACAAAGGGTGGCATATTTCAACACACATTACCAACAAACAAACAAATTAAGTTCCTTGCTTATATTCACTCAAGTCTATTTTGGAGTAACTTGCATGCAAATAACCCAAGAACCTCAAAGTCCATCAATTTTAGCACTGAAATCTCAGCCTGACTGATATGAAATCTTCTAGAAAAGGTAGACTATACAAAAACCTACAAAATGAACTCTTCTCATTAACTCTTTCCTCAAGACCAAGAGGAATCCTTTTTGCACTGCAGTAACTGTAAAAAGAGGGCAATTTTTCAAAGAGGAATACAAGTGGTTTAGGAATGACCGCAGTGACTCAAAGAATCCAGAGCTCTGACTGCACAGCTTCCTGGGACTTTTGTAGCAACTTGAGGACAACCACGGATGGAGCTGATTGATGGGGAGCTGGCTCAGCTCCCTGGGGACTCTGACAGCTAAATGGAGCCCTTCTGTCTCACTGGCTGCCTGAAACACTAAGAAAAATTCCACATGAAATTTTAAATTTTTCCATAACAGCTTCATGGAGGAATGTGCTTTGGGAGATTAAAAAGCAACCTGAAACTGATTCTTCCCTCCATCAGATTTCATTGACAGCAAGATTGCCAAGACTTTTAAAAATCTATATGAATCCAACTGCCTCACCAATGGTTTTGTAGCCAAGACTTTCAGCTGGTTAGGAAAAGGGACAATTGCAAGGCTCTGAAATCATCTGGTAATATAGATTCAGAGTGCTCGCTCGCGCTCGCTCTCTCTCTCTCTCTCTCTCTCTCTCTCTCTCTCTCTCTCCCCCCCTTCTCCCTCCATATATATATATACATATATATATATGTGTGTGTGTGTGTGTGTGTGTGTGTGTGTATATATATATCTCTGTATGTGTGTGTGCACACACACACACACACCCATATACAGAGATACAAATATGGATAGATATCTTTCCACGTGTGGTAACTCCAGGTTCTTTAATCTTTAACTCTTCAAAAAAGAATCACAGTCCAGGTTTTCTCTTGCTTTTCCCCACTCCCTGCCCCCAAGAAGCTACCAACCTAAGTCTCTGCATAGTGAGAAAAAAGAAAATGAAAACCACATGTCCACATTAAAAAATAACTGAAAAAGTTGTCCAAAATGCTACATGTCCAAACGTCAAGAAACAAAGTCAAATGATAACTAAATTATAAGGTGGCTACAGCAGAGGCCTTGCATTCAGTTCAATTCAACAGAGGATGAAATAAAATAGCCCCTGATTTCAAGGAGTTTACACTTTAAATATATATATAGATAAAACTAAATTGATTTTTTTCTTCTGTGTAGGAAAAAAAACCCATCATCCACTCCAACTTAGCACTTCAAACAGTGAGGAATCTGACAACCAATTAAAATAGAACTGACGTACTAGGAAAGAAGAATCCCAAGATTCATCAAAACAAGAATTTGTACCACTTTCAGAAGTCCTGCCCTCCCAACAACATAAGCACCTCAACTCTCCTAACTTGTGCTGATCTATCCACACAATTTTAAATACAGATTTAAGGAACTGAGAGTTTAAAAAACATAAACGTTAAAAAATCCCTGAGCTGGCCTTTGTTAGCATGTTAACCACACAGTATGTCATAGTGGCCACATAAGATCCTGGCAAGCAAATGGAGCGAAGACCAAGGTCTATTCCCAACAAACAGGCCTTGTGTTCTGGCTAACTGAGCCCTGGCAACGTGGTGGCTACTTCACTGAACTAGAAATTGTCATTATGGAGGGCCCATTACCACTCTAAAGAAAGCTTCAGGCCGTGGCCCAGATCTTTGGAAGGCAATCACAGCAATACCAACAAACCACTTTGATGCTCAGACAAGATTTCAGTAACAGCAAGAGCTATGCCACTAATGGAAAAAAAGCCATTCTACTTCTTTTCCTCATCTCAGCATATTCCTAATTAACTCAGCTTCGGGTTTGATATGAACAGCTTTTAGATGGAGGGACTCTAAGTTCAAATTCTTCTTCATTACCCAGATCTTACTGAAAATGGAAATTTCACTGCTTCCAACTACTCGACAGCACTAAGAACTGGCCACCCCGAAGCCTGGGTGTTATCAGAGTGACCAAATTCAGACTAAGACATGGAAATCGGAGAATGAGCTTTGGGGTTACAGGAATGGTCCAAAAGCTTAGGGGCTTGTATGCTAAGCTTAGCTCTTCCATCAGCTCACTGCACAATCCAAGGAAAACCAGAGCCTTCCTGTCCAGTCATTTCCTCATCATTCTTCCTTCTAGGAGGTCAAATGGCAAATTCATTAAAGCTCCCAACGTGTGTGAGGGTCACTCTCGTGCTCCATGAGTCTTTCACACCTGCTCCATCGGAGGAACCTCCTATTGGGCACTGGCTCCTTACTCAAAAGGAGGAATGTAGACAGCCACTGATATGCTTGGGGCCTGCAAGGGACAGAAGGTACCCCAGGCTGGAGCTATCCTCCACTTAAATAATTTCAGATCCAATGAGAAAATGCAGCATGAAGGCTACTTGCCAATTTATGCAACAACTGTACCTGCTCCTCCTCAATTCTGCGCTGTAGCGTCTCAATATAATGCTGCACGGCCATGTAGATAAATCTGTACTGGGCTTCTGTCTGGACCATCCCTGACCTCTGGGATCTCACCATCTGAATGGTCTTGGGAACATCAATGTCACAATCCACACCTAGAAGAAAACAAACAGCAGTGCTGACCCTGCATTGTCTCACATATCACACGAGGCCTCTGTACACACACAACTGACACTCAGCTTTGATCTATGAGCAGGAAAGGCTTTCCACTGATAGAACTGGTCCCCAAGGATTCACACAGCCAAGAATCATTCATTTCCACATCCCACAAAATACTATGTGGGTGGCCATTAAAGGACTCAGTCCGAGGGGACACAGCTCTTTAGTTCAATTTCCAGTTGCCAACTCTGCCCACCACATCTGGTGCTCCTGCACCAGCTAGAACTGCTCTGGAAAGATACAAGTTTGGTGGTCCCATTTAAATCCATTTCTCCTCCTGACGTGGTCTTTTGTTCTCTCCCCCAGTAAACATGAAAACAGAAATTTGAGCTTCTGAGTCCACAGCTGACTTACCTTTCTCTCTGATAATGTCAATAAGGATGTCAATCACAATGAAAGTTCCTGTCCTGCCAATCCCAGCACTGTGGGTAAAGAAAACAAAAAACTGTTCATTTTTCTTCCAGTCACAGCAAAGCCTTTCAAGGGATGGTTATGGTTTCCTCTATGTGGATGTGTGTGTGTGGATGTGTTGTGTGCACACACACACACACACATGCACACATTGTGTTGGGGAGGTGTTCAAAATAAGAATACTGATAATAGACCAAATGTCGGGGAAGGGGGATTATTTTTAACAAGGCATATTTTAATTAAGTTGTGCAAATAACTAAAGTTAAGTGGCCTCCCACACATCTACTTGCCCACTGCGCAAATATAATATACAAAAATAAAGTCTCCTCCTGACACACACAGCTTACCCCAAATGTGGGGCATGATACATTTGTGGGCACCAGTATGAAGGCATGAGGCATGAGATCACAGCTCCCACCAAAGCCCTGAATGGGATGTGGTCCATGTCTATTTAAAGCAATCAACAGTAGCTTGAGGGGAAAAAAATCTCTTCTTTCCATGTTAAAAGAGATCAGAACTACAACCAAATCAGAGCCTAAAATCCTACACACACAAAAAAAGAAAATCGAACAAGATAACAAACTCCTTCAAACCAGGGACTGTGTCTCATCCTTCTTTTATCATTGCAATACCACACCCAGCCCTAGCTTCAGCCCTCTGCTTACAGCCATTCAAGAAATATTTGCTGATTGAAATTACAGTCTTTAGGACTCAGTAAGGAACGTGTTCACAGGTGACAAATGTCCTTTTCTTATACTATCTATCCAGATTTCCTACAAATGCTCATGTTTTCCTCTGAGAGCTAGGAGGTGAGAAATGGGGGAGCAGGGAGCACGCATCCCCCTGCTTTGGGAAATTAAGATTCTCTCTACCCAGAACCACACCAAAGTTCAGCCATGATCTGGATGATTACCTGCAATGCACCACCACAGGGCCTGCATCAGGAATGCTCTCCTGCTTGTGATGGACCTCTTCTAAAAAGTCCAGAACACCCCCGGGATCAGTAGGCACGCCGTGATCGGGCCAGGTTCTAAAATGATACTGCCATACTGTTCTCTCCGTGTTCCCCTGAAGTAGAGCCAAGAAGCAGCAGGAAAGAATTAAATATTCCAAGGGGGAGAACTTCCCTAAATCAGGAATAATCAGGGATACTAAATGATCCAAAGAAACCAGAATTTAAAAACAACCAAATTCCACAAAAACAGCTGAAGTTACCATCTCTGGGACCTTTTAAGATGTTGGGTTTTTTTCTGTAGCTGGACTTGGGCCCTGTCCTTTTAAAGTCAACTTCATACAATAGCCATAATTTTTATGGGTAAGCTTTGCTTACTTGGGTAATTCATCTCTTAGAATAAGGGAGACTCCCCGCTCCCCAACCCAGGAGGTCTTTAAGTAGAAGTCATATGGGCTCCTGACATGGACACTGGACTAGGGAAGAGGAGGTGTGGAAGCTTTTTGCCTACTTTCCCTCATTTGATCAGCTCTTAGCTAGGTCCTAAGACATACCTATGGAAATAACCAATGGAAAACACTCTGCCAGTCTTAAAGCACTATGTAAATATAAGTGCTGAATAAACTACAGACTCTTGGTTCTAGCATTCAAAGCCTGGCACAGCTGTCTCCAAATTCTCTGTTCACCCTTACCTCATATCAGCCATTAACGTGTCCTAAGTTAGAGCCAAATTGGACCTGAACTAAGGTGTCTTCATCCTCTCCATAAGGGGGAGTGGTCTCCCCTCCAACCCTCTCTGTTGATCTCTTTCTCTTATTTCAAAGCCTACAACATCCGCCACTTCCTCCACGAAGTCCACACCACAAATTTTCTCTGTCCTCATATTTCTTATTTAATTCACAAGCATTTATGTGAGGAACTGTGCTAAGCATGGGAGATACAACGACAAGACTGAACCAGTCCTGGCCCTCCTGGGTGGATACAACACATGTGCCCAGCATAAGGAAATCGAGGGGAAGGGGAAGCACACTAGTAAAGAGCACTTTATCTAGACCTCTCCCTCCTCATTTTACTCTCCATATGTCCCAGGGCAAAAACTTAGACTGGAAGGGACCTGAGAGGTCATCGAGTCCAGCCCCCCATAAGGAACTGAGGCACGATGATTTGTGCATTTGTCCTTCCTCTCGTCAGATCCTCATCTTTGAATCCCTGGTCTCCAGCATTTTGCCTTGCATACACTGCAGGTAAAAAAGCAGCATCTGGGATTTTTGTCAAGGTGGAAAAACCCATTCTGGACATTCCCTCCATCAGTGAAAGTTAGAACCCATCACAGACCTAGAGCAAAGCTGGTGAGCATCTTCCCCAGAGTCACACAGCTAGGTGTCTGAGGCAGGACGCTGGCCCAGGTCTTTCTGATCTCCAGGCCAGCTTGCTACTGGCCACCTCCCACCACCTCAGCCTCACACGCAGCAGGTATTTAACAAATGTTGGCTGAGTTGAATTGAGTATGGTCTATTTTAGGCCACTCAACAGTTGTCATAAAAGGACCTTGGAGATGATTTTGTCTAAACTCCTCATTTTACAGAATAAAAAGTTTAGGCTAAGTGACTCTTGGTAAGGTCACTGGTTACAAATAACAAAGCTGAGATGTGAATCCAGCTCCTCGGCCTCTGAGTCCAACTCAAATGACTGAGAGAAGCCAGACCTTTGATCTCCTCCCTCCACCTTCATGAGGCAATAACAAGACAGACACCACAAACCACAATGGGGGCCTCTGAACCTCAGTTTCCTCGTTGCCTGAGTAACTTCACCTCCTATAGAAATGCAATGTGACAACATAGATGAAAGCTCCGAGAAAAACTCAGAAGTGCTGTATACCAGGTGAAATAACAACGTTGCTAATGCTGAGGGAGGAAAAACTATATCTGTCTATGGTAAAAATAAGTCTTTTGTCCCACCTGCAGCTGAGAGACATAAGATAATATCAAGACTGGCAGAGACTGGCTGCTAGCAGAAAACTGAACCTGCATTCTCTAGCTAGCCCACACTGAATTTCCCTCTCATTTCTACCCCAAAACAAAGTAAACAGCGTCCTCAAATGCCTCTGCTTCCTCAGTAAGCTAAATCATCATATCCAAAGCGCTCCATAGCAGTTTCATTGTACAGGTCACATAAGGTTTAAACGTAAACCAAAATCATTCAGTTTGGACCTGATCCTCCAACAGAAGGACGGTGTGTCAGGAAACCCTTCACCTTACTTTTTAAAATAATTTATTTATTTTTAGTTTTCAACATTCACTCCCATAAGATTTTTGAGTTTTAAATTTTCTCCCCCTCTCTTTCCTCCCCCCATCCCCAAGACAGCATGCAATCTGATACAGGCTCTACTTACACATTCATATTAAACATATTTTCATATCAGTCATGATGGTAAAGAAGAATTAGAACAGGAGGAACCACAAGAAAGAAGAAACAAAACAAAACAACAAAAGAAAAGGAGAGCAAACAGTCTGCTTCCATCTGCATTCAGACTCCAAGGTTCTTTCTCTGGATGTGGATAGCATTTTCCATTGTGAGTCTTTTGGAGCTGTCTTAGATCCTTGCATTGCTGAGAAGAGCTAAGTCTATCAAAGACAGTCATCGCACAACATGGCTGTTACGGTGTACAACGTTTTCCTGGTTCTGCCTATTTCACTCATCATCAATTCATAGAAGTCTTTCTAGAAACCCTTCACTTCACTCCATGAGGCTCCCACCCACAACTTCCCCCATTAACAGCCACCACAGACCCTAAAGTATATCCATGTACTTACTTGTCCAACCTTAGAGAGCTTAAGCTCTCTCAGTGTATAGTCATGGGCAGCGCTTTCTTTGACGTTTCTAACACGCATAGCCCCATACTCCTTTAGAGCATATTCATCGGGCCAGTATTTGACACATTTACTCTGGAAAGAATCAAAAATTAATTAGTCTCTATGAACTGCTAAGTAACAATCTAAATGTTCAGAAAACATATCTTAAAGTCTCACTTAATGGTTATCTAGCTGAAGCTACTAAGACAAATTAAGACCCAATTCTGGCATCTTAACACCATTACAAAAAAATGGCTCTTCAAAGGGAAGGAAATTCCTCTTACAAGCTGCTGGAAACAAGCTGCTGAGAGAGTAAACAAGGAGGGAAAGGAGAGCACACCAAACAAGTCACATTCATGAAAAGACGCAGTAGATCAGAACTGGACGTGACAAGATCTGAATGCCAAGATCAAGAATTTTAATTTATTCAGTAGGCAAAGAGGAGCCACTAAAGGTCTTGGGAACAGTGGACTGATGATCAGAGTAATGCGTTAGGAAAGCTACTCTGTCAGAGACGTGAAGGATGGCTTGGAGAAAGGATAGAGTAGACAGAGGGAAACCAATTAGGAAGTATCGTCTAGGTAAAAAAAGAAGTGTGAGTCTGAACTAGGGTGGCTGTAGTCATGTAGAAAGAAGATGGATAGGAGAAGTATTTTGGACAAAGATCTCTGATAAAGATCTCATTTCCAAGAGACATAAGGAACTAATTCAAATTTACAAAAAAAAAAAAAGAGCCATTCCCCAATTGATAAGTGGTCCAAAGATACAAATAGGAAGTTCTCAAAGATGACATCCAAGCTATCAACAGTCATATAAAAAACGTTCCAAATAACTAATAATTTTAACAATGTGAATTAAAGCAACTCTGAAGTTCTACCTCACACACTTCACACTGACAAAGGTGGGAAAACGATCATTGCTGGAGAAGGTAGAGGAAGACGGGAACACTAATATACTGCTGGTAGAGCTGTATGCAGGTCCAGCTATCCAGGAAGGCAATCTGGAACTACGCCTCAAAAGTCAATAAACTGTACAATCAATCCTCAACATCTCCACATCTAGCTTTCACAACTTCAAGCACTGCTGTGATTTTATTAGCAATTTCATTTTCACTCTTGCATTGGCGACCATGCATGTCAGTGGCTATGAGCAGTAGAGGTAAAAAGAGAGGCACCATACAGGCAAGCTTATATCCACAAAAAGGAGGAAAGTATTCATGAAAGTATTCATAAGTGTTCATGAATCCGCTCCAGAAAATGCTGAAGTTACCTCTCAAGGGCCTAATGAGGGAACTGAAAAAAATGAAAAAGTGGCCAAGTTTGCGGGTAAAAGAGATGGTGATCACCCCTGCCCTCTATGTTCCTCCCCACCCCACCCCAACCCTGCCCTCTGGAGCGAGTGGTCTGGCCTCCACACTGCCCATACAGCTGGGCTCCTGTGTCAGAACCAGCTCAGTGCTGAGTGGCTGCCCTCACCGTGGCCCAGGGCAGTTCTGAGCTCAGACGGGGCCACTCACCCCAAGGTATGTCCTTTTCATAGTGAACAGGTGAACCACAAAGCCAAAAGGGAGATCAGAGATGGCAGGTTGCCCTTTTCCCTTTTTTACCTCGGGGCTCTTCTTCCGACATCACAGCCCTTGCCCATCCCTGTCCACTGCCTCTCCTTTCCCCTACATTTTATGACAAAAATATTTATAGCAACTCTTTTTGTAGAAGCAAAGAACTGGAAACAAAGAGGGTGCTCATTAATCTGAGAATGACTGAACAAATTACCGCATATTAATGTAATGGAAGGGAAAAGGCATTTATTAAGCACTTACCATGTGCCGGGCACCATGTTAAGTGCTTTACAAACATTATCTCATTTGATCCTGATGATAACCCTGGGAGGCAGGTGACATCATTATCCTCATTTTCTTTTTTTTTTACAACTCAGGAAACTGAGGCAAAGGTTAAGCAGCTTCCTCAGGGTCACACAAATAGTAAGTGTCTGAGGCTAAATCTGAATTCAGGCCTTCCTGATTCCAGGCTCAGTGCTCTGTCCCCTGAGTCCCCTAGTTGTCTCTGAGGTAACCTTAGGTACCTGAAGAATGATGGAGACAGTTTCAGAGACATCTGGGAAGGCCCACAGGAACTCATACAAAGAGAAGTAAGTGGAACCAAGAGAACAATGTATACAACAACGGCAATACTGTAAAGACAAACACGTTTAAGAGAGTTAAAAACTCCGATCAATGTCACGAGCAGCCATCACCCTGGAGGTCTGATGATTAACTGTGCTACCTACCTCCTGACACTGATACAGCGGATCCACAATGAAGAAGAAGACATACATTTCTCAACACAGCTAGTGCAAGAATTTATTTTGCTTAACTATGAATATTTGTTACAAGAGTTTTTTCTTTTTTCTTCTAAAAAAGGAGAGGGAGGGAGGGAAAGTGAGGAGGAGAGAAAATAAGCACTTGTTAATAAAATGAAAACAACATAGAACTGACAAAACCTGGCAACTAAGTAGTTATGGAAAAGAGAGTGTCAAGAATGACTTGCTTATCAGTTCAAGGGACTGGAATGAGGGTGCTGCCATCACTAGAACAAAGATCTGATGAAGAAAGGCGAGGTTTGGGCAACACCAGCTTTAAGGGGCAGCTGTCCAGCAGGCAATTGTAAATATGAGCCTAGAGCTCCTAGAAGGGAGAAAGATAGGCAAGGGAGGCATCAGCATGCATAATAACTGAGGCCTCAGGATTGGACAAGATGACTTTGTGTGTGTGTGTGTGTGTGTGTGCGCGTGTGTGTATCTGCGCGAGTGTGTATCTGTGAAAAGAGATGGCCAATAACAGAATCTTGTAGGATCATCGACAATTAGAGGACTGGGAAAAGGATGAGGGGAGAGAGAGAGAAGAGGGGAAAAAAAAACCTAACAGAAATAATAAGGAAAAATTGAATTGGGCTGAGGGGAATGGAGGAAGCTGCTTTTTAGCATGGTTTTCCTATACTGAATACCTCCTCCAAGCAGAGAGACAAAAGAATAATAATAATAGTAATAATAATTACCCAGCATTCAAACAGGAGTGCGATGCTCATTTATGTTTTTAATATACCAAGAAAACAAAATGGGATCTATTAACCAGGGTGACAGAATCGCCCAGCAACAGCTCAGTTTCCTTTCAAACATAACAGGCTTATCGCTTGTTGGGAAAGGGAATATAAAATGTGGAAGTAGACGGGCTTTTCAAATTGTCTACTACATTTTCACATCAGTGTAGAATTTTGCTCCAGATGCTTCCTGTGCCTTGCCTAACCCTAGTGTGAATAACTCCTACACTCTATATTTCAAAAAACTAAATTAAACAGGAAGGAACTGTTCCATATCCAGACTTCCCAGTAAATTTAGGGATACAGCAGCTACTACATATGTCACCACTGAGGAGACCCTTCCCTCAGCTACATCTGGGAGTCTGAGGTGCCCAACTTCCCCACAGCTGCTGGCTCAATAACAGGCAGATTGAAAAAGATGGCACCAAAAAAGTGTTTCTTGCCGGCAACAAGGAGAGCTTTTATACTAAATAAGGGATGCGCTCCTGATCGTTGGCAATCCATGCTGGAAATGGGCTCCCTTTTTGTACTATTTCTTTTTCCTGTGGCATCCCCACCCTGAGCCCCAATCCACTTCCTACAACTGTCAAAGCCCAAACTACAGGAGGAGAAATCTGTCTTCTGCATTTATGAGCCACAGTAATTTCCAGTTAAACAACTGTCACTGAGAGAACAACAGCTAGTATAAACACCTAAAGAGCTCCATGATTCATGTACTTTCTAATGAGCGCAGGGAGATAAAAGCTGGGCCGAGGGGCTGATGGGAGTCCTGGGAATTGGTGACTTGGTATGCTCTGTTTCTTATGGCTTTTCAGTTCAAACCTCTGCCTTGCCCTTGAGCACAGTTCTGATCTCAGTGTTTTTTTGAAAGACTCAATACAGTTTTGAGGTTCCCCAAGTAAACCATTCTCCCACTCCCGGTTATACCCAGTGCAGTCACTGGCCAATTAATTTCGGCAGCAGCTTCTGGTCACTCCTGAGAGCAGAGAGCTCTACAGAAGGAGAGAAGACAAAATCATGACCCTGAAGAGCAAGCTCTAGCAGATTCCTAGATACCACTGGGACCCCTGCCAAATTAACGCTGAAATTCAGGGCTATGTTTGTTTGCATGCTTTTAAATGAAGATACAGAAAGGTTCTGCTTTCTTTCATCGAAGCACAAAGTTATTTCAAAATAAAACACGCACAGCCTGACTTCTCTCCCCCCATGCACCAGGCCAACAAGTGGGCTGGGGAGGATATGGAAAAGAGCTTCCAAAGTGTACAGGTAGCCTAACCCTAAGGCTAAAGAGAAAGAAGGAGAGAGGGAGTACAGCTGGGAACACACTGGCACTGGGTGGGGGAGAGTCCCTTGCAGTCCAGCTAAGGCAATACAACAAAACTCAGCCATCTAATCTTCTTGGGACAGCTCCTCAGAGAGGAGACCATACCAACTACTCTGAGGCCATCGCAGCTATCTTCCCTTCACAGCAGCATGTCCTTCAACAAAAAACAGGAACCTGCACAGGGACTCAGGCCTGAGCCTCGATGAAGGGCAGAACCCAAGACAGGGAGCCCCAGGCCTCAGGCTCACCCTTTCAAACCCAGGAAACTCAGAAGAGAGCATGCTGATTTATGAAAGCACTTCAAGGTTGGCAGTAATCAAATCTGTGTTCCATGTAATAAATCCAAGGATAATTAATGACACCACAGTTTCCTTTGGGAGAAAGAAGTTAAATTTTCATTGTACACAAGCTTCATCACAAAGGTCTTTAATGTCAGGCTGTAAGTAGCAAACTTATGTAACGGACTTTACAAAAAAAAAAGAAAAGCAACCTTTTCAGCTCTCTACTCTCCTAATATAAAAATGATCCGAAGAATGCCAACAGCGATCTGTGGGCTCCAATGCCCCTGATACAAAAGCACAAGCACAGTGTGGCTTTTTAAGAGGACAAATATCCTTTATCCAAGCAGTGGTTTAATATGTTTTGTATAGACATGACTGCTACAAAACTGCAAATTCAGATATAAACCAGTGAATTGTTTTTGAAAATGAAAAAAAAAAATTAACTCAAACACAGTCATGAAAACATAGAAACGTCCCTGAATGAAAAGCTTCCAGTTTGTTGTTTGTGTGATCAGTGATTACTAAATGGGACTTGAGTCACCTGACAGAATCAGGTAATCCTCCAAAAAGAGATAGGTTCCATAAAAGTTAGGATTTGTTATAGAAGATGATTCACTCCCACCATGGTCAATTTAAACCTTCCAATAGTCTCAAAAATATTTCATCATAAAAACAAACAAAAAACCTGATGCATTGCAAACACTAATGGAGCAGGAAGCCACAGGCCTGTGCCCGAGTGCCAGCTGCATCACCAAGGCCTAACTGGGTGGCCCTGGACAGTCTCTTGACATCACAGAGCTTGCAGGTCCCAGCCTTCCCACACTCCAGCGGTCAGTCTCACACTCTACCTTGCCTCTCTCCACTTCCTTCGTCGTCATGACGATAACTCGCGAGTTCTCCTGGCACACCATCCTCCAGAAGTCATTCACTGTGGTCGGCAGGCAGCCCTGGGTGGCAATGTAACTCTTCTTGGGCTTTGAATTGTTGCACTTGGTCTCAAACTCAGGCTAGAAATCAGAACAGAGGTGCCTTAAACAATGACGGGAATCCCACCAGGAAGTCATCTTTCTAGACGAAAGGAGGAAAAACTACAGACGTTGGCAGCCCAGGGCCAGGACCACAGAGTACAAATGCAGAGCTTACCATGATGATGTTTGCATTAATGTAGTCTGAAACTGGTTCATTCGGATCTCCATCATGCAGGACAACCCTGGTATGATCAACTAGAGAGAGATGCACAAAGTCATTAACACCATTCTGACAAAATTCAGTAACTAACAAAGACTTCCTGGTTTGTCTAGCAGTCATTCTAAAATCCAGCAACATTCTCTTTCCTCTAGATAAAAAATTATGCCAAAACGTCCCAATGAGCACAATGAAAGCATATCCATCAAGCTGCCAAAGGTGCTTTCTTTAAAAAAAAAATGGGAGCAGTAAATAAAACAATATCAATTTAGTAGAGAGAAAGCCTGAGAGCCTTGAGTTGGGTTTTGTAAATCCCAACAAAAAAAAATTTGTTTTAAACCTGATTCTTAGTAAAAATCCAAACTACTAAAGCTTGCCAGGTTTTGCAATAGTGCTCTAGTAGGCTAGCTGCCCCTGTCAATAGCAGGAGTGGCCAAACTGAACTAGATCAGTCCTTGGACTAACAGGCACGTGGTGCATTGCTGGGCCTTTCCATCTTGGAAGGACCAGCCAGCACTTGCACTCCACTGGCATGGCCCTCAAGAACACGTCACTTCTAGGCCATGAGGAGGGCAGTTAACATGCACAACAGCTATCCCTAGACCTCCCAGGGTATCCTCATCAGAGCTGGTACCAGCCTGGGTAGGCCCTTCTCTGGATTTCAGAAGTAATCCTTCTTTCCTCCAAGAGGCAATCCTGTCCCTACCAGAATCTGTTGTTTTAAAGGGGAAGCTACCCCTGGGAACATTCCCAATATCCTCTTCTAAGCAGAGTTCAAAAATTAAAATTTCTTATCTATCTTCAACATAAAATACTCAAGATGATCTAACATTTCGATCTCAAGCTTCACCTTTGCTCTTAGAGGGTCTGAACTAAACAACTGATAAGATCCCTCCAACTCTAAGATTCTTCAACTCTCAGATCGATGATAGTGTGACACGGGAGGTCAACAAACAAATGTCTGGTTTCCCACTAAAACTGGTCGTTACAAATGCTGCCTACAATAAAAGAGATTGAGGATTCTAAATTGGTGAGATGGGCACAAAGCTACTATCTCTCCAGCATTACTGGGGAAAGTAAAATTGTTGGAAGTGACTATGAAGGGAAATGCAGCGTATTGATACTTACATGGCAAGATGTTCTTATATCTGTTTTTGTTTTTATTTTCTGGCCGCTGACCCTCTTTACGGCTATATAGGAGCTTGCATTCCTGCTGTTGTAGAGTCTGGATAAAAATGAGAGTAAATGGTATTAGGAATTTAAGAACTATTTCTGAACCACCTGTGCTAGGAAATCTAGGCAACAAAAACAAGCAGAATACAAGTGAGACGAGAGATGGGCACTACTACAGGCTCTATAACTTTATCATGTCTCCATGTTTCTAATTCTCACCCCCCTCTTTTCCTACAGTTCCTAGCCATACAAACCCGAAGGAAAACTCAAAGAATATTAGGGACAGGCAGGGAAGCAGAGAAGGTAGGAGATGAATTGCATCCAAAAAAAAAAAAAAACAGGGAATGAGACAGGAAGGGAGAGATGAAGAGAGAAAGAGAGACAGAGAAAGAAAGATATAGAGCACAAACAGTAAATATGCACTATGCACACAAATACAAACAAGATCAATCCCTGGAGTTCAGAGAAGAAAAGGTGTGCATGCATGGACACACACAAGAGCACAAAAATATGCAGGAATTCCCCCCCTCACCCTGCCTCGGTAACTCTCCAGTAGCATGACCAGCCTCTAAACTCTATGCAAGCAGTATTTTGTAACCTTTGTCTTCCACATAATTCCAGGTGGTTTCTGATGCTTTGGGGTTAGGGATAAGTTATTTCTTGGTGCCTTCTGAGCCTGGTTAAGTTCACTGTTAGCCCTTTAATGTCTATCTTTACTAGATGTACTCCACCAAGACTAATCAGTGAATGCCCACACAGAGACTTTTCCAAACCCAAAGTGGTGAGTATAGACAAAGGGAACAAGAATAATAATAGCTAACAGTTACACAGCACCTACTATATACCAGTCACTGTGTTAAGCCCTTCACAATTATTGTCTCATTTGATTCTCACCATAACCTTGGGAGGTAGGTGCTATTATCAGCCCCATTTTACAGATGAGGAAACTGGGGCACACAGGGCTTAAGTTACTTGCCCACGGTCACCCAACTAGCCAGCACAGCGTCTGAGGCTGGATTTACATAAAGGACAGATTTCCTGACTCCAGGTTGAGACCTCTTTAGCTGCATACAGAAGAGAGATAGTCATAGAGGCCAGAGAGACTATAATGCCATCAAAGCCCATGTGATGTGAAGCAGAGTTCTGGGAAAGGAGATCAGGAAGGAAAGAAGGGAGGGAATGGGGCCTCCAAGAAAGGGGACAAAAAAGTGGGTACCAGGAAGTAGGGGCAGCCCTACAATGGGAAAAAAGACTGGAAAGCAGAGAAGACAACTAGGTAGGAAGGATGCTAACTCAGAAGAGGGACACTAAGGTGGGCTAAAGACAGGCCACCAGGAGGGTTTCAATAGAGGCAGGACAAAATGCGCCTCATTGGGTACCACTGAATCCAAGATACAGTAAACAGTAGCAAATTATAAATGGTCAAATCAACAATGTAAAAGATATAAAGGGGGAAAAAACCAACAAATTCAGAATACCCAAGTGGTTCGTCACCAAGAAGTTTCACCACAGAGAGCAGGCTGCACTTCACATAATAATAATTAAATTCCCATTTTATTACTTTGCATTTCAGAGAGGTATAAACCCTCAGTCTGAATTGGTGTTTCAATCTTCGTTTCCAAATACAATATTCAACCTTGAGAGAGAGCTCATGACACAAGTCATCTGGCTGGTTAAAACTTGAAACAGAAAGAGACTACGTTTCATGCAGAAGTTGGACAACAAAAAGGAAATTCAAATCCAAGAATGACCCAGGTGAAGGGCCGAAGGTCATTCAATGCCTCACAACTGCCTCTCCTGGGACTCTTGGCCAGCTTTCACAATCAAATACTGCCACATTATAGGAAAGATTCCTTCTGGACTTGGAGACTCAGAGCGCAAAGATGAATTCAAAACTGGATTAGAATTATGACTTCAAATGCCACTAAACAAGCAAAAATGAAAGCACAAAGGTTTGCCAAAAATAATCAGCTCCTTGGCCCAGAACAAAACTTGAGCTTTATTAAAAAGTATCCCTCACGATGCTATCTGTGTTAGCATCAGCCCATTCGAGGTATAGGCTAGTCCCTGAAGCAGAAACAGTAGCAATACCTGGGGCAATGCTTCCAAGAGCTGGGGAAACAAAGAGGAAGGGGGAGACTAGGAAGAGGAGAAAAGCCTGGAGAAGACTGGGGCCGCTAAGGGGCACAGCAGATAGAGCACTAGGCCTGGAGTCAGGAAGACCTGAGTTCAAATCTGGTCTCAGACACTTACTAGCTGTAGGGCACTGGGCAAGTCACTTAACCTCTATTTGCCTCAGTTTCCTTGTCTGTAAAATGGGGATAATAACAGTACCTACTTCCCAGGGATAATGAGATAATAACTGTAAAGTGTTTAGCACAGTGCCTGGCACATAGTAAGCTCTACAGAAATGTTAGCTATTATTATCATTATTATTATTATTATTATTATTATTATATGTTCCCTAGTAGGTACATTGATAATGATCAAAGAGGCTAGAGCAAAATACAAGCAAACTGAGTCCCAGTTCAGGGGAAATCCTACAGCCTGCATTCAGGATGGCCCCTACCATCATCTTCTTGCATACAGACTGTGTATTCTAATAAGCCACCATCTGAGACTGTCCTTTACCCCTGAGAGGACAATATAAAGGACAGGCAAGGGACCCTTTATCATGAGCACAGTGAGGAGCTAATTACTGGATGGCTGGCAGCTGTCTGAGTCTAATAATGAATAATACCGGGGCTCTTCCTCATCTCCCTTCCTCTGAGCATCTCAATATACTTGGCAAACATGAATCCATCCTCATCACACCCCTGAGACATGATCTAACATAACATATCTCAGTTTCCATACAGAGAAAGTGAAGCAGAGACAAGGCAGCCTGTTCAAAGTCAAACTGAAGATAAGTGACACTATGAAAGTCAAGATTTCCTGACTTTCAAACGCCCCCCCCCCCACGCCTTCAGCTCTAGTGCCTCAGGCCACCTGGATGGCTCCTGGATTCCTAGCATTAAGAGAATACAAGGAGCATTTTTAATACTAATTATTTAAACTCTCACTCAGGCCAGCAACCTTACAGGACTGCATTCTTTCTCCATTTACTAATGACCTGCTCAGTTAAACGTCACTTGTTTCCAATGCGTTATTTGTATTCTCTCCTACCCCTTCCTCTCCCTCTTCCAAAGAACCTGACAACAAGGATGCTAATGATGAGAGAGCAGAACGGGGGAGACGAGGGCAAGAAGGAATCTACAAATCGGATCATCTGGCCCTGGCTAACCGAGAGCTGAAAGCATAAAGGAATGTGATCCGGAACCAAAGGGCTTACAAAATAATGACTGCCCCTTAAAGAGGTCCAGAAACAAGCTGCAGGAGAGCCCCCTGCAGGAAAGGCATTTAGGAGGGGCTGTGCACCAGAGCAAACAGAGAGGAGAGCAGAGAGAGGCAGGAAGGCAAACAAATGGAGGATATTGTGTGCGCCAGGACGGCCTCCCAACAGCAACCGGTCTCTCCTGGACAGCCTGTTCTTCACTGGTCAAGCCAAAGTACTAACGGCAATGATACAGAGGGGACTGAATCATCCCTATTTCATTGTTTTGTTTTTTTGTTTCTGGTTTGTTTGTTCATTTTTTTTATTAATTTATATTGATTTCTCAACAATCACTTCCATATGCTTTTGAGTTTTAAATTTTTCTCCCCCTCCCTCCCCACCATCCTCCCCAAGACAGTACACAACCTGATAAAGGCTATATATATATATATATATATATATATATATATATATATATATATATATATATTCTTATTAAACATATATTCAGATTAGTGATGTTGTAAGTAAAAATCAGAACCAATAGGAGGAAACACCAGAAAGAAGAAACAAAACTCAACAGAAGAGAGAAGAAAATAGCAAATAGTACTTTCTTTGGATGTGGATAGCATTTTCCATCACAAGGCCTTTGGAGATGCCTTATATCTTTGTATTGCTGGAAAGGGTTAAGTTTATCAATATTAGTCATCGCACCACATGGCTGTTATTGTGTCCAATGTTCTCTTTGTTCTGCTCACTTCATTCAGCATCAGACCACACAAGTCTTTTCAGGTTTTTCTGAAGTCACCCTGTTCATCATTTCTGATAGCACAATAGTATTTCATTACATTCATATACCCTATTTCATTGTTAAAGATAAAGCCACTCTCTCCCGCCCTCCAGAAAAACTTGAGGGGCTCCTCCCCAGCTCCTTGCTTCTGCTACTACTGCCCAAGAGGAAGGGGCCCTGAGAAAGTGTGTCTGACACGTCATCACTCTGGTTTCAATACCTGGAATAATTATGACAACAGAGGTAACCATCTGGATGTCTCCAAAGCCAAGCTTTCTACCTGATCTGAAGCAACTTCACGGTTTTTCCTGTGGCACTTGTCCTCTACTCAAGGGAACTCTAAACTCTTTATCTGATTCTCCCTCCTGGAAACACTGCAGTGCACAAGAGGATGGCAGGGAACAGTGACAGCACCAGCTCCCAGAAATTACACTGCATGGCTCCATCCCTTTGTTTGCACCATGGACTTCAGGGAACTCTTGTTAAACAAACAGCAGGAGTATTAAGGGACAAATTGGGGCAACAAACAAGGCCCACATGATCTACCAAGCGTTTCTGGGGCACCTCCCATGTGTTCAAGTACAGAAGGATAAGAAACAGTCCTTCCCTCAGGAAGCTTACAATCCAATTATGAAGCGAAGACTCGCATTAAGTCAAGTTGTTACAGGCAGTCACAGAAGGGGGCCTCAGCGAGAGCCAGAATTGTCAGTCAGCAAAGGCTTCTAGGAAGAGCTGAGCCACTGAAGAATGGGTAAGACTCAGCTGAGCAGAGAGAGGAGAAAAGACAAGGTATTGGGGGGGGGGAGCTGAGAGAGAGGAAGCAGAAATGTCCATGGCAATGTTTACAAAGGAGCCAGGAAACTGTTCTGAGGAAAATGAGCACTACATACTGAGGAGGCCAGGAATTAAGACTGGACAGGTAAGGCAGAGTCCATTTATGGGAAGCCTT